CTGACCTCGCGGGATGCGTGCTTTTATTAGGACCAAGACCGACCCGGTGTCCTGCCTCCTTCGCGGGTGGTGGGCCCGGTCCTCCTGGCGAACTCTGGATAACTTGGCGGATCGCACGGCCTCTGCGCCGGCGACGAATCTTTCGAGTGTCTGCCCTATCAACTTTCGACGGTACGTTATGCGCCTACCGTGGTGGCAACGGGTAACGGGGAATCAGGGTTCGATTCCGGAGAGGGAGCCTGAGAAACGGCTACCACATCCAAGGAAGGCAGCAGGCGCGCAAATTACCCATTCCCGACACGGGGAGGTAGTGACGAAAAATAACGATACGGGACTCTTTGGAGGCCCCGTAATCGGAATGAGCACAGTCCAAATCCTTTAGCGAGGATCCATTGGAGGGCAAGTCTGGTGCCAGCAGCCGCGGTAATTCCAGCTCCAATAGCGTATATTAAAGCTGCTGCAGTTAAAAAGCTCGTAGTTGGATCTTGGTCCGCGGGCGGGCGGAAGTTCTCCGTACGAGTGGGTCTTCGCTGCCCGTCCCGGACTCTCCTCCGGTCCTCTCCCGGTGCTCTTGGTTGAGTGTCGGGGGCGGCCGGAACGTTTACTTTGAAGAAATTAGAGTGTTCAAAGCAGGCCGCCACGCCTGGATAGTCCAGCATGGAATAATGGAATAGGACCTCGGTCCCATTGCGTTGGTCTTAGGAACGCGAGGTAATGATCGAGAGGGACTGACGGGGGCATTCGTATTGCGGCGTTAGAGGTGAAATTCTTGGATCGTCGCAAGACGGACGACTGCGAAAGCATTTGCCAAGAATGTTTTCATTGATCAAGAACGAAAGTCGGAGGTTCGAAGACGATCAGATACCGTCCTAGTTCCGACCGTAAACGATGCCGACTGGCGATCTGCCGGCGTTACTCTCTAGACCCGGCGGGCAGCCTCCGGGAAACCAAAGTCTTTGGGTTCCGGGGGAAGTATGGTTGCAAAGCTGAAACTTAAAGGAATTGACGGAAGGGCACCACCAGGAGTGGAGCCTGCGGCTTAATTTGACTCAACACGGGAAAACTCACCCGGCCCGGACACGGCGAGGATTGACAGATGAGAGCTCTTTCTTGATTTCGTGGGTGGTGGTGCATGGCCCGTTCTTAGTTGGTGGAGCGATTTGTCAGGTTGATTCCGATAACGAACGAGACTCTGGCTTGCTAAATAGTCGTGCGACCCTTAACGTGTCGGCGACCGACTTCTTAGAGGGACAAGCGGCGTTCAGCCGCCCGAGATTGAGCAATAACAGGTCTGTGATGCCCTTAGATGTCCGGGGCCGCACGCGCGCTACACTGAAGGGATCAGCGGGTGTCGCCTCCCTGGCCGACAGGACCCAGGCAATCCGATGAGCCCCCTTCGTGCTAGGGATAGGGAATTGTAATTATTTCCCTTGAACGAGGAATTCCCAGTAGGCGCGAGTCATAAGCTCGTGTCGATTACGTCCCTGCCCTTTGTACACACCGCCCGTCGCTACTACCGATTGAACGGTTTAGTGAGATCTTCGGATCGGCACGCGGCGGGGACTGGTTCTGCCGGCCTCGCTCGCGCGCCGAGAAGACGATCGAACTTGATCGTTTAGAGGAAGTAAAAGTCGTAACAAGGTTTCCGTAGGTGAACCTGCGGAAGGATCATTACCGTCTCGAAGAGGAGAGATGCTTCTCTCACTTTTCTCGCCACGTCACCGTCGCCTCCTCGGTCGGTCAGTCAGTCAGTCAGTGGTGGTCGGCTGGTCAGTGGTGCGCGATTGACTTCGTTCACCGCTTCCTCCTCCTCCACCGCTGCTGCTGCTGTCGAACAGGAGGCAGGGCCGAATCAGCGTGAATCTCTCGGTTCCGCGAGCGGTCTGCGTGCTCTGCGATTGCGTCTCGTTGCGGGGAGTACCCGTGTGGTCCGGGCCTTTTCTCGAGAGGGCCTGGCGGGTCACCGTCGAGGGGACGGTGCATCTCGGTTTGATGCGGAGGTCGTGTTCGTTCGTTCGACGATCGATCGATCGATCGACGAGCTCCCGCTCCCCGTGTTTTATTTGTTTGTTGTCTCTCTCGGGTTTTGCTACTTCATATTGAACGAAACGAAATAACACCGACAATTCTCGGCGGTGGATCACTCGGCTCGTGCGTCGATGAAGAACGCAGCCAGCTGCGTGAACTAGTGTGAATTGCAGGACACATCGATCATCGACACTTCGAACGCACATTGCGGCCCCGGGTTTCATGCTCGGGGCCACGCCTGTCTGAGGGTCGGCGACAGTTCGTAAGGGCGATCGCGCCGTTCTCGGTTGTCCGGTCTGGTCTGCTCGCGGGATTCTTCCTGCCTGCCTGAACCACGACCGACCGACCGTGGACTGGTGCGCAATTGGCGGACGCTGAGCTATCGCGGGGCGCGGCAACGGCGGTTTGGGCGAGGCGAGGTGGAGCAAGTAGGGCACCGTTCCTTCTTTCTTCCCTCGTTCTCTTCCTTCCTCTTGCCGGCTTGGTGCCTGCGAGCGCTATAGGAGACGAGGCCCGACGCTGGGGACACGTCGCACCCGACCGTCTCCGCGTCGCACACTGCCTCTCCTTTCCATCTCTCGGCTCCCGATATAAGGCACCGGGGATGCGTTGGGCGAGTCAAGTGCGACGCGACGCGACGACGCGGTGTGGTTTTATTTCACCCAACGCTCACCGTATTCGATTCGATTCGATTCGATTCACCCAAGCGACCTCAGATCAGACGTGACTACCCGCTGAATTTAAGCATATCACTAAGCGGAGGAAAAGAAACTAACCAGGATTCCCCCAGTAACGGCGAGTGAAGCGGGAAGAGCCCAGCGCCGAATCCCCTCGTCCTTGTAGCGGCGGGCGGGAACTGTGGCGTAAGGAAGTGCCGGTCGGTGCGTCGTCCCAGGGCGCCCAAGTCCTCCTGATCGAGGCCTTGCCCAGAGCGGGTGTCAGGCCCGTGAGGGCGCCGGGCCCGCGCCGTCGGAGGCTTCCGGGAGTCGGGTTGTTTGAGAATGCAGCCCAAAGGTCGGTGGCAAACTCCATCGAAGGCTAAATACTGGCACGAGACCGATAGCGAACAAGTACCGCGAGGGAAAGTTGAAAAGAACTTTGAAGAGAGAGTTCAAGAGTACGTGAAACCGCCGAGAAGCAAACGGGTGGGCCCGCAGTGTCGGCCCGGGAGATTCAGCTCGGCTTCGTTCGGTGCCTGGCCTGCCCGCGTCTGCGGATCCGTCGAGGACCGCGCGGTGCGGCCCCTGGCACCGGAGTCGGGCGCACTTCTCCCCGGGCGAAGCGCTCGCGACCGGTTCGGCCTCGGCCACGACCCGTCTCTGGTCGGAAGGTGGCCGCGGTTCGGGGCGTTTTTTCGTCTCGCCGCGGAGCTTACAGCCGGCTTTGGCGTCGGGGAGCTCGGGGCCGGACCGAGGACTATGACGCGC